TATTTTTCTTGCCCTATCCTCAAATTCACTAATCTTCTGTTCTGCTGTGTCCAGTCTGCTATTAAACCATTAATTCTTGATTTCAGATATTATATTTTTTAGGTTGATATTTTTTCATTGATTCTTTCTATGGATTCAATTCTCTGTAAAAAATTCTGCATCTTTTAATCAATTTGTCCACTTTTTCTTCTATTTAGTTATGCATCACTCTATTGTATAATAGTTATCTTAGAGTTGTTATCTGGACTCCAATATCTGGCTTATCTGTGGTTCTGCAATATCGTTGGTTTTTCTTGATTATTAATCAATTTTTCCTGTTCTTCCACTTCATAATTTTAAAAATCATATTCCAAACTTTTATATTAAAAGCTTAGAGAGACTACAGCTGCCGTTATTTTCCTCTAGAGATAAAAATAGAAAGTAGGATGAAGGTCAGAGACTGAGCTGGGTTGGGATTGGGTTGCAGTTTCAGTTCACTTCTCATTTCTCTTTGTTCCTTGGTTGTGATTCCTCTGGGTGCTTGATAGAGAGCCAGGATGGTTTGTATCTCCTCAGACCGGGAGATTCAGTTCTGCCACTGAGAGGTTTTAAACTCAGATCTTTAGCCTCTTAATCACACAATTTAAAAAATAATGCACATATCTTGAGGGGGTTGACTGCAAGAAGGATGACTCCTTCTAGGTAGAGTTTGCTTTGTATGCATTAGTAGAATGTGGGGAGATTTTACTCTCCCTACCAATCCCAGTCCTTTAGCCTCCTCTACCACTCCAGAATTCAGCAAATGTTTGATGGGAAAGCTGGCTGTATGTTTGGGCTCCTTTACATTTCCAACCCATTATGCAACTCACATGACTGTTAAACATTTCAGTTTTCCTTTTCCTGTGTAAAGTCTCTCTGCCCAGACCAAGCTTGAACAGTCAATGCCCAGAATCAGTAAACGTCACCAGAGAAGAAAACAGCTGGCGAATGTCAACTTATTTAGTCCGGGCCTCAGCAAAAGAAGATTTATTCAATTGCATTATTCTTTAGGGACAATGACTGAACATGTGAAGATGCCAAACTAAAAGTCTACATGTAAATATCCCTGTGGTTTTTGCAGAGGTCTGGACCAAAATGAGCAAGAACATCATTTTTGAATAGACAAGTGTCACTGGAGCTGAATAAGATGAAGCTTCACGAGCAATACTGTATGGCAGTAAAAAGCAATAGCAGTATTGTACTGAATAGAATCCAGTTCTTTTTCAGCTTGGCCTTGAAAAGAGAACTGATTGTACAGCAGGTGTGGCTCAGCAGTTGAGCATCGACCCATGCACCAGAAGGTCACCAGTTTGATTCCTGGTCAGTACACATGCCCAGGTTGTGGGCCAAACCCCAGGTGGGGGACATGCAGGAGGCAGCCAGTCGATGTTCTGTCTCATCAATGTTTCTATCTCTCTGTCCCTCTCCCTTCCTCTCTCTCTCAAATCAATAAAGAAAAAAAATTTTTTATAAAAGAAAAGAGAACTGATTGACTTGATGAAGTAAGTGCCTAGGGTTCTTGGACAACATAAGTGTAGAGCTCAAGAGGAAAATAATAAACTGTCTGCTACAAGATCAGGCAAGAATGCAGATTGGTGCAGCCACTATGGAAGACAACATGGTGTCACTTTAATAAATTAAAAATTGAACTGCCATTTGACCCAGTGATCCCCCTTCTAGGAATATATCCTAAGAAGTCTGAAACACCAATCAGAAAGAATATATGTACCCCCATGTTCATAGCAGCACTATTTACAATAGCTAAGATCTGGAAACAGCCCAAGTGTCCATCAGTAGACGAATGGATAAAAAAGCAGTGGTACATATACACAATGGAGTGCTATGCAGCTGTAAGAAAGAAAGGTCTCTTACCCTTTGAGACGACATGGAGGGACCTGGAAAGTATTATCCTAAGCGAAACAAGCCAAGCACAAAAAGACAAATACCATATGATCTCACTTATTTGTGGATTATAATGAACATAACAGTCTGAGGAATAGGGTAGACCCATAGACGTGGAAGTAGGGTACAGACTGCAACCCTCAGAAGATCGAGTGGTGGGGGCAGAAAAGAGATAAACCACAGAACTTATATGCATGTACGCATAACCAATGGACATGGACAACAAAGCCGGGGATGGGGTGGGAGGGAGTGGGGAGGAGGGTATCAATGGGGTAAAAGAGAGACATCTGTAACAAAAAAAAGAGAGAGAATCCTAAAAAAAAAAAAAAGATTAGGCGAGAATCCCAGATTTGTGGCAACATGTCATATCACATTTCATCCAATTATATTAGAAAAGATGAATGTTGGGATATTATGTAAAATAATGCTTATTACTTTCATCTTATTTTGATGTTTTAAGCATAAAGAGTAATTTAGAGGCTTGATAAAGATGCCTTTCATCGTAAGACAACTGATATATGACAAAGCAAGTTAAAATATCAGAGTGGGAGGTAGCCACATTCAACTAATTGAAAGCTAACGTGTGCTAAGCACTGTACTTGGTGTAAGATCGCCGCGCCGCTGGAGGCAAAGAAGGCGAGGGAGAGCGGAATAGAGAGTCGAATTCAACAGGCTTTATTGGGACGATCCGGTGGTTTCGCAGACTCTGAGAGGAATGAGCCTGGGAAGCCGCGCGCAACTGGTGGGGCTTGAGATTTTTATAACCCCCTGTAATGGCTGGGGAATTTCCACTGCGGTTTGGGCCTGCAGGTGTTTGCGCAACCAGGGGTGTTCTGGGCAGGATGTTTGTGCCTAAAGGTACCAAAGGTATGAGGACTTTCCAGCCCCTATCCAAGCCCGGGGGCCACCGGACAATACCAAAGGTATGAGGACTTTCCAGCCGCAACCCAAGCCCGGGGGCCACCTGACACTTAGCACTGAGGATGCACAGCAAAAGTGATAACCCCTTGCTCTAGACTGAATGTTTGCATTTCTCCCCTCAAATTTGTATGTTGAAGCCCTAATCCCCAATGTAATAGTATTTGGAAATGGGCCGTTGAAAGATAATTAGGTTTAGATGAGGATATGCCAGTGGAGCCCCCACTGTGGGATTAGTATCCTTATAAGAGAAAACATAAGCTCTCTCTCCCCCTCACCCACACTCCCACCATGTGAGAGTACAGGAAGAAGGCCATCTGTAACCTGGAATACAACTTTCACCAGAGCTTGACCATGCTGGTACCCTGACCACATACTTCCCAAACTCTAGAACTATGAGAAATAAATGTTTGCTTGTTTGTTTTCATTTTATTTGTTTTTTTAATCTTTATTTTTGAAAATACTACTGATGTCTCCCCATTTTCCCCACTGACCCCTCCTCCCTGCCCCCCTTCCTTTCCCATAATATTGTCTGCGTCCATTGGTTATGTAGATATGCATATAAGTCTTTTGTTGTAACAACCCTAGCAGACTAGGACACCCTGCTCTTGTATCTTTGAAAGGTAAGCCTCATTGTGAACTTAAAATGCGATTAAGAATACATATATACATATATATATATTTTTCTTTATTGATTTTAGAGAGAGAGGAAGGTAGAGGAAGAGATAGAAACATCAATGAGCAAGAACATGGATTGGCTGCCTCCTGCATGCCCCCCATTGGGGATCGGGCCCACAACCTGGGCATGTGCCCTGACTGGAAATCGAACTGGTGACCTCTTGGCTCATGGGTCCACGCTCAACCACTGAGCCACACTGGCCAGGCAAGAATATATGTATTTTTAAGCAAGATATACTTGCATTCATTTATGACTACTTCCTAGATACTATCTTGCTAACCTTTATCAAACATAATATATCCTTGTTTGAGGGTTAATCCTCACCCAATGACATTTTTTCCATTTATTTTTTTAGCTAGAGTGGAAAGGAGGGAGGGAGAAACAGAAAGAAATATCATGTGAGAAAGACATATTGTTTGGTTGCCTCCCACACACACCCCAACTGGCACCGGGAATCAAACCTGCAATCCAGGTAAGTGCCCTTGACCAGGAATCAAACCCAAGATCCCTTGGTGTGCAGCCGATGTTCTAACCACTGAGCAACGTTGGCCAGGGCAACATAGTATTTTCTTACTGTGAGAGCAAAAGTAGCTCCATCATTACCCTGGGTTTAATTTAACTGGCCAGATCCAAATAGGAAAAACAATGTCATATTTTCACAACTGAGAAAGTACCATGAGTTATACCAGCACATTTTGTTCCTTTCTACTTTCTCAACAAGCATGGGGAGTCGGGGAGGAGAAAATGTGAGAAGGCTAAGAAGAAAATAAGGTTCACCCAAGAGAAGTAATAGTGGTGAAGGAAAAAAATTTTAAAGAGAATGAACAAACACTATGTAAAACTATGAGGTAGCCTCCATTTCTTTAATATCAGACCTCAGTAGAGAAAGGAAGTGGGCTAAGATGGATAAACCACACTTCCCCTAAGACTATGATTGAGTCACCATTAATTCTGCCAGCCTGCCTATTTCATGGTATTATACCTATAAATCTTAATGCATAATTAGAAGTATACTTTTTTGTCTTGGTCCAAATTCCATTTCTGTTTCACCCTCTCATAAAAGATACTTTAGACTACTTCTCAGATTTGTCCCTTTAAGGCCATCTGTTCAATGTCTCCCATAGCTTTGCTGATGGAATAATGAAATGTATGGAACAGAGGCCATACTCAATAAATCAGTTTTCATATATGCTTTTAGTTTTCAATCTGGGGAAGGGTAAGAAGGTAACTGTTTGAGGAGAGATTTATACTTTGGATCTTCCAGGTATATGCGCTATGTCCCTTTTAATCTGTGAAAACACAAGACAGCTCCTTGGTGAGCGCCAGGGACACAGAGGCTTTTTTCGGAGGCCTAGATATGGGGCGCCTGGCTTCCCTACTTCCGGCCCCGCCCCTCTCCGGTGGTTGCTAGGAGACGTGATGTCACAGGAAGCGAGGCCTGGAATAGGCTAAGGCCCGGGGAAGCCTCTCCCCCTCAGCAACCGTAGCGTCTGGTGCTGGCTCTCCAGCTGTTGTAGGCCTGTGGGTGAGGGCCCGCGCCCGGGAGAGCCCGCTGCGACCCCGTCCGCCCACCCGCCGCTGCGTCCTCGGGCTCCCGCCGCCCCTGCACCGCGGCTGGGCCGGGCCACAGGGCGGAAGGCTCCTGCACGGCTGCCGGTGCTCCTGCCTGGCGGCCACTGTCCCCACAGCCCGCGCTGCCGGCCACGTCCCGGGTCTCGGCCGACAGCACAGCGTGGCAGGTGACCTTTCCGAGCCCAGAGCGATGACGGCTCCCTGCTCCGCGCTGGCCCCGCGGCCTCGGCACCGTGAGCAGCGGCTCGTGCTGATCCCGCCGCCGCCGCTGCTGCTGCTGCTGCTTCTGGCGGCCGCAGGGCCGGCGCGCGGCTGGGAGAGCGGAGACCTGGAGTTGTTTGACTTGGTGGAGGAGGTGCAGCTCAACTTCTACCAGTTCCTCGGGGTGCAGCAGGTAAGCGGGGCGCCCACCCGCCCAACGGCGGCTCCGGGGCAGAAAAACGTGCGGGTCGGGGTGGCAAGGAGGGGGTGGGGCGGACCTTGACCCGATTTCCTTGGTGGGAGCCGGCCCTGCGACCAAGACGTGGCCATCCCGGGCCCTGGCTGCCCTCCTCGGCCCGGTCCACTGGGGTCCCCTGCTTACCCCAGTCCCGGAAGGAATTGTTCGCCCTGCTCCCCTTCTCAAGTTGTGGTCTCCGCTTAAGGCTGGATGGTGCCACCAGGCTGGGCTGGTGATACCCTCCCTTTCCTCTGCCATCTGGGGAAGATCCTTCCACCCAGCTGTACTGGAGGAAGAAGGAAAGAGTAGTCATGTCTCACTGTAAAATTTCACCTTCCCAGTCACACTTATCGTAATGCTTATATTAGCTGCCTCCTTTCCTCTGCCTTCCCGGTAACGTAGGAATGCGTTTTGGTCTGCGTCTGTGTTGCAGAAGTTTTTCTTGCACTGTACTTTGGAATCTGTTTAGCCTGTTGCATAGGGGTTGGTATCACAGTGTAGAAATCTGGAGGAACTTGAAGTCTCTACCATCTCGGTCCTGGAACGCAGACAGGAACCATTAAGTTTTAGGGGCAGTAGATCACTTGAGCTGCTACAGAAAGAGATGCCCAACCAGTAGTCCAGGATCGTTGTCTTTTTCTTTTCCTTCCGTTTTGTTTCCTTTTTTAGCTTGGGACTTGGACCTGTAAAGTCCATTTGTTGATCTGTACTTCTTTCTACCTGTGTGTGAGTGGTCAGTGAGGGGAGGTAGCTAGTCTCTATCTGAATCGTACTGCCAAGGAGAAGATGATATTTGGGGTGAAAGACTTAGAATTTCACACGATCTGATTGAGCTCTTCATAATATGCTTTGAATAGTTATGGAGTAAAAAAAAAAAAAAAAAAATTAAGGTTTACCAACAGTTGTCATTCAAGGCACACTTCACATGAAATGTACATTTTCCCCCATAGATGTGAACTATTGAGCTTAACACTAAATGGAAATTTACTTTTCAGTTAAAAATAATTGAATATAAAATTGATGTTGCACTGTGATTTTAATGAATTGTATTTTTTTGTAAGAGTTATTAAAGTATAAGCGTTCTCACTTCAAATGCTTAGATGCAAACAATTATGTACTGTCTATATTCATTATCTTTCTGCTCATAGACAAATATATCTCATTACAAAGTAAATGATGATGCAACGTGTAACAATCATTAGTGAAAATAACTCTAAAGGCTTTTAAAATGCCTTTAATATTGATAATATTTGTTAGAATTTATCATGATTGATTACATTCTGTAGCTAGAGAGAGTCTTATCCATAACCTATCCAAAGATCTTGAAGATGCTTTCCAGTTATTCATGGAAAATTAAGCCTCTTTAAGAGAATATAGGAAATTGCCCTGGCCAGTTTGGCTCAGTGGTTAGAGCGTCAGCCTGCGATCCAGAGTGACCCAGGTTCGATTCCTGCTAAGAACACGTATCTCAGTTGCAGTTTGTCCCCGACCCTGGTTGGGCCTTGCAAGTGGCAGCCATTTGATATGTACCTTTCACATTGATGTTTCTCTCTCTCTCTCTCCCTCCCACTCTATCTGAACAAAAAATGAAAAAATGTCCTCGGGTGAGGAGAAAAAAAGAGAGAGAGAATACAGGAAATTTTGTAGCAGTAGTTTAAAATTTAGATTATGTAATTTAACTTGCATGTGAACTGTCATAGAATTCTTGTTTATAGTTTCATGCAGTTTAATTTGCAGAGTTAATTAGGCAATGTGAAAAACCAGAACACTTAAATATAAGGGCAAAGATGGAAAATAAAGAAGCATAGATAATCAAGAAGATTCTATGTCAAGGTAGAATTTGAAAAGGATCCAGAAAAATGTTTTAATTTGTGTTTCTCTACCCAGCCATGTCAAAAGAAATTCTTTTCTACCTAAACAGAGACACTGATTGGAACTAGTTCTTTACATTACACTGAATCTTAACTTTCTTAAAAGACTTTCAAAGGACCAGAATTCGGTAGAGACAAATGCAGCCTGCCTTAAGTCCTTAATGTGTAATTTTCAGGCCAGAGCCAACCAGTCTTTTGGTGACTAACCAGATTCGAGGAACCAGGACAAAGCAGATAGGTTTTTCAGAGTGGTGACCTGGCTCTATACACTCATCAGTTTTGTTGTTCATTCAACAGATTTATTTGATGCCTACTAAATTTTAAGCACTGGGAGTTGGCTGGTATATAAAATAAAACCTGTAGCCTCATGAAACTCACAATTCAGTAGGGGGAAACAAATGGTAAACAATGAAGCAAGTAAATATAAATGTCAGATAGAGAAGGCCTGTGAATGAAGGAAGTGAGTGAGCCCTGTGGGTAAGTGGGGGAAGAGCATTCAAGGAAAGCTGACAGTTGAGTGCACATAGGCCTTGAGGCAAGAAACTTGGGTAGAGTCTCAGCAATAGCAAGGTTGATGTGTCTGGAACAGGGTGAAGGAAGAAGACAGTAATAGGAGATGAGATCAGAGTCATGGGGTTAGAGAACGATCTTGTAGGGCTTTGTAAGACTTGATAAGGACTTTGACTATTATAAGTAAGTTGAGGATCTCATGGGGGGGCATTTAACAGAAGAGGGACATAGTTTGACTTAAATTTCAGAATTGTGTTAAGGATTGTCTGTATGTACGTCATTAGTTACTTAGAGGGATAATTATGGTGTAGAATGTAGATTGTACCTGGGTGGTGTAAATTAGTCAGATTCTGAATTTGATTGAAAAATACAGCTGGCAAGATTTTACAGATCATTTAAATGTGGGATGTGAGAAGAAAAAGAGTTGAGGATAATTCTAAAGTTTTGGCATTAGTAACTGAATAAATATTTGTGTAATTATGGTTGCCACTTACTAAGATGTAAAAGCCTGGGATAGAAATAGGTTTGGTTGGGTGTAAATCAGGAATTTGGTTTGGTGTCATGCTAAATTTGAGGTGGCTATTCAACATTTGGGTGGTTATTTAAGTCTGCAGTTACAAAGAGAAAGGCTTGGCTGTAGATACAAATTTGGAGTTCCTGGCACTTAGAAGGGAATTTGAAGCCACAAAACTGGATAAATTCACCAGGAGAGTGAATATAAAAAGAGAAAAGAGAGGTCTGGGAACTAACTAAGCCTTGGAAATTCCAAACTTGTGCAGTCAAGGAGATGAAGAGGAACCAGCAAAGGAGATGGAAAAGGAACAGCCAGTGTAGTAGGAGGCAAACCAAGCAAAGATGGTCTTTTTCAAGTCAAATGAAGAAGTATTTTAAAGAGGAGAAAGTGATCAGCTGAGGAAAATGCTGATAATAATTCAAAGAAGATGAGTTCTGAGAATTGGCTGTTGAATTTAACAATATGGAGGTCATTGGCTACCTAAGCAAAAGCTGTTTCAGTGGAGTGGTGAGATCAGTGTCTGGGTTCAGGACAAAAGGAAGGAGAAGAGCTGGAGACAATATAAAAAAAATTTTGAGATACCCCAAACTAGAAGCCAGGGATGATAGTAACTGACTGTGACATTCATTTTATCCCCTTTCCCCCAGGTTTAAGATACTCCCTACACTATACAACTGGAATAATCGATACTTGAAGAACTTGGACCAAGCTACTTTGATTCACAACCTTGGGCCAGTTAGTTGCCTCAGTTTTAGAACATTTGATACCTTCTTTATCTGTTTACTTCATAGTTAGGCAATGTAATAGACACTTCAATTTTTATTGAATGATAAAATGTAAGCATGGTAACTAAAACTAAAAAGTGGTTGCTGAAGGAGTGGTTGCTGAACGGTTTTTACCCAATGGGTAATCATTTTATTTGGCCTTGTATATAGACCTCATACAGTGAAGGTATCCTTTTCCATGTATTCCCACATTTCAGATCATTCATAGAACATTCCAATTTGGATATTGCATCTTTTCAGAGGAGACAGGGTGAAAGATTAAGGGAGTGTAGGAAAAAAAAGTTGTGTGTTATTGAAATATCTTTCATTAGTAACTTACATTCTAGGTCCCCACACAGTAGTTACATTTCCTCTAACAGCTTCTCCTTGGACACCTGTATTTCTTGTGGGGTCAATGGCAAGTCTGTATTTTTTCATTGTCTATTGAGGACATGACTTTCCTTATACTTTATACAGTATTCTAGCCAACCACAAATACATAGGATTCATTTTTTTAAATCTGTGAATTAAAATTGTGACAAACTAAGTTATTTTAATTTTGCCATGTTTACTTTCTGGTGAAATCAGAGTAATCTTTCTGGTGCTAGTCAGCCATTACAGATTCCTATTAATAGAGCTAGATTCTCCTTTCTCTTATAAATATTTTTTATAATTGCATCCTTACATTTAAATGAATGCTGAAGCTTGGTTAGAAGAAGAAAAGTTATTAAGTGCCATATGCTTATAAAATATTGGATTTTAATTTTTAATCAGAATGAATAAAGCTTTTACACTCTTTCAATCTGTATTTCAAATGTACAGAATATGTAAATGTACAGACTAAGCAGCCTGTGTAGGGCAGGCACAGTTACTGCTCAGTCATCCCATATCCAGGTGGGGAGGGACTTCCCTAAAAAAAATAGTGCTATCTCTTGCTGCATCTGCTACATCTCTCCTCAGAGTGGTGAGTTACCTTGTTAGAGGGTGATTGTCTTTGGTCTGTTTGCTTGATTGGAGAGAATAATCAGTCAAAAAGCTATAAGCCTTGGCAGTCCGTCTCTTTTCTGCCCCAAACCAGTAAGGCAATTATCCTGGACAGACTTTCTCTCCAGTGTGTTGTCTCAAAATCTGGAATGGAGAGAGGAGAGCAGACATTGCCAGCAAGCCCATTTGGCCCCTAGACCTAATCTAAATTTTTGGTAGATTTTCAGCCATAAAAGTGATATTTGATTTCTACCTGCCTGACTTCTGTCTCAGTCTATTTGGATGGGAAAAAGCATGAAGTCATTAATGGGG